ACCTGAAGCAAATGAATTTAGAAAAGCCTATTTTCCCCCATCTTTGCCTCCTGGGTTGCTTCATTTCTAACCAAAGGCTATTTGAGGAGAGAAAAGGTTTGTTTGAAAGACTTCATTCCATTCTGATAAGTTTCCTACTTAACCAGCTTTATATTCCTCTTCATTGTGTAGCCTTGAGCTTTGTTTACTGCAAACATTAAATGCTGCCCTGACTAAAGAATTACTCATCTTCCTTTAGGGTGTCCCATTTAACGCCTCCTTGTAGCTTCTTTATCTTCACAGCATCTTGATTTGGCACTTATAATGGAGAAAGTATCTACTTAATTTGGGATAGCTTCCTTAACATGTATGTGATCAAAGCAGGGATCTCCACCACAGTTCTAGCCTTTGCTGTAGGCAGTAGATATTACCATAGTTCATTGTCTGTCTGTCTGTCTGTCTGTCTGTCTGCCTGTCTCTCTCTCTCTTTCTCTCCTCCACCCCCCCCCCATAATATTACACAGCCTTCTTTTCATCTGCTAGGTTTGTGGCAGGATAATAGATTTTTTTCAAGGGGGTATCAGCCACCTGTCTGTAGAGATCTTTTGAAAGCACACCACTGCTCTTGTCAGGTATCAGACTGAAGGACATGAGAAGATGAAGGAGTGTAAGAAAGATTTCCCTGGAATTAACTTCAGTCCAGGCAAGTCCCCACTACCTTCCAAAATATTTTGTGTGGGATAATGGCTGGGAATGGGACAAGAGGGGAGATGAATGCTCCTGTTTAAAACCAGGCAGCTCATAACAGAGCTTTCGTGTTGCTGTGTCTAGTTCCATGGATATTCTTGAGTGGTTTTATGTACTCGGCATTTTGTAGAATTGTTACTTTCACAGGTAATAATGTTAGTTGAAACTCTGTGTAAAGCCATAATTCATCCAATAAAACAGAACCAACTAGATTCATACTCTGCGCTAAATAACAAACTACAGTTTACTGATCACAGTGGTTAGGTTCACACAACATACTGACAAAAGCTAACAAATTGATTGCATGATTTGTGAACATAGTCAGTTTTAGTTTTACACTCCAGGTAGACAAATTCATTCCCAGGAAGAGACCGATGCTCAGGTCTCAGAGACCCTAGGTCTTTTCCTGCCTTTAAAAGAATTCTCAGTAGGAGTCCTTTCTAAGATGACTGCGGTGCTACAAGGGTGAGTTATTTGAACCCATCCTCTCACCTAATATAAAGCAAATAAAGATTCTTACCTCTCTGACAACACTGGAATGAGCCAGTTCACACATTCAAAGAGCTATACTAAGAATGATGGCTGTGATGAAGCTTTCATGGGGCTCTTCAAAAAGCACATAGTTTGAAACACCCCCATAATTACTATGCCACCACAAAGTGCTTCATGTGGCACAGCAGCGGGACAACAACTGGGGAAACTGGATGTTGAACTCATTGCTTGGCCCCTAAAGCAATTCTGACTAGTACATGAATTCACTTACCTAATCAATATAAAAGCCAAATTAATCATGCAGATTTAGTGATGAATTAGCTTCTAATGTAGGAAGGCTTCATTCGAGACTTTCTTTACAGATTTGGGAGGGCCAAACGAACTCCCAACCTTGAGTTTTTCAGTACTACTGGGGTTTTTATTTTTCACAGTTGGCTGAAAGCAGAGATAAAGTACTGTATGTGTTCTGTATAAACCCTTAGTATTGGCATTCCGCTCTGCAGCAATGTGAATCCATTTGGCCTGCTGTGCATGTGCTTACAAGTACTGCCTATCAAAGTTAATAGACAGTGCAGCACTCTACATGCCTGAGCACAGGCAAGTCCCACTGTGAATTAATTCTAGGTAAGTGGCCATAGGATTGCCACCTAAGTTTCCTGTTTTGTAGTTCTTGCTTGCTGAAGAGTCGCAGCAAATCATATGTGTGACCAGAGATTTTCCTTTCAATAGCTACTCCTGAATGTTGGGTGTTGATTTATGTTGCTCAGAGAAATAAGAAACTTTAATAGTTTCCTTTTGCTGGTTTTCATTTCATTTTTATCACAAAAATAAAAATTTTCTATTGAATGGTAAGAACAAAAACATAGAATGTGTGCTGCTGCTGTCCCCGTTATCTATTTCTAATACGGCATCTTGAAAAAATAATTTGTCTCTTGTTCCCCAAGCCCACTGGAAAGTAAACATGCTCATGGGAATCAATTAGCCGTATCTAAAACAAAAAACAAAAAAAAAAGGAAAGCAATATAGAAAACCTGAAGCAAATAATGACATGGAAAGTAAATGACAAAGATGGCAATTCTAGAGACTACAGTGGAAGCCAGTAATTCTCCAGCAACCGTCTTTCAGCCTATTGGCTAATAAGCTCAGCATATCCAGTGGCTAAGACATTGAGCTTGTCGATCAGAAAGGCCGGCAGTTCGGCAGTTCAAATCCCTAGTGCTGCGTAACNATATACACACACACATTACAGTGGCTTTTATTACTATGTTTAATGACTGTGTGGATAATATTCCTAAATAATTGGCTGTATGTGTATCTTGATTTTTGACTAGCTAGCAGCACATTATAATGTCTGGATTATGGTAAACTAACCATCTCTATTCTGATAATTTCCAGATTCATCCATTCTCTATTTAAACTCTAACTTCTGAAATAGGAAATTCATAATGGACAAATATATGAAAATGCTTGTGAAAATGCATGTTCCTGGGAAAATTTCCAGTCACCTCTGCCTATAATTGCATGCATCCATTTAATTAAATTCAATACTAAGACATAGATATAACATATTTATTTCCCAACAGACCTCTTATATCTATCTCTCCACTCAATTTGCATCTTTTTTGGCCTCTCTCCCATCTTAAGTACATCCTGCATTCACAGGAAGCACCTATTTTCAAGCAAGAGTAGTAGAACGCCCTCTACAGGTCAGAAAAACCATCAACAAAATATCTTTCTACAAAAAAGCCCACAGAATCTGGTTTGTCCCCCAAAATATATTTCATTCTGTAATGGTTTATTTATAACCATTCTTCCACAAAAACTCCAACTGTTTTGAATAAAAACTACAAAAATGAGCAAAAATGTCTTTAAAATCAAAATGCATTTAAATATGAAAAGAAAGCAAAGACAGAAAATAGAGTGCCTGGCAGATCCCACCAAAAAGACCATTCAGAATCAGCTACCTATAGAATAAACCAGAGTATAATAATTGTAACCGGCTGAAGAATGTAAAAATATATTTTTCTATAGTAAAATATCTTTAAGAATATATGGATTAAAGATGATGCCCCAGGATATCCCTTATAAATTTTGTGCATGTCAGTCATCCAATTGCTGTAAGTGTGCCTAATACAACTCTCATGCTCCCCATTTCCCTACTTGGTCTAAAACAGCAATTTTAGAAGAAGAAATTTCTATTGAATAAGTAGAGAGATACTGAGGGCTAGATGTCTGTTTGGGCCTTTATTTAGGTTTTATTGAGGCATTTTCAGGAGGACATCCAGTTTATTTCAGTAAGTAAAATACATTTCTTTTTTTTTAAAGAATCCACATTTCAGAAACTGTTTATGATACAATCTCATATCCTGAAATATTTACAGGATTTCCTGGACATGGTTAATTTAGTTTACCAGTTGGATTAATAATATAGTTAAGATAAAACATTTCAATTTATTTCATGATACAACTTGTTTGCAGTCAGTTTAAAACCAAGAAATTTGACTTGCCTGGATTATGGAAAGGGCTACTTATTACTTGATAATGAATGCTTCTATTTAACAAGTCTCAAATCTATTCCGGATTTTGGAGACCACACAGTAAATATCTAAGGATATTATTAAAGGCTACAGTGCTTTTTTCTGATGTGCATACTGTAGTTGATTAAACCATGAGTGATGCAATGAAGTCATAATTACCTTTCAATTATATTTTGCAATTTTGGAGCTAGGTTTAACCCCAGGTGTTTACAGGCTGCTGCAAACGGTGTTTTTGGGGGGTGGGGGGGTGTTGGACACATCCATTTGAATCAACAAAATAATTTAATTTCAAAAGGAAATCCATGAGTTTTTAATGGATGTTGTAGTGTGGTTTCGGGGTCCTATTTATGTTTAACAGTTAAGTGGGATGGTGGGAAGTAAGGGGATCATATGGAATAAAAACCAATGTCTTGCACTTGAGATGGCTTAGATGTAAGATAAATGTAATGTTGATTTTTTTCTCTCCTCTGTCCATGTTTCACAGCTCACTTTAAGTTACACTTAAATGAAAAACAGTCTTTAAAATAAAACAAATATCTTTAGCGTTGATATCTACTACTGGACACGTATCCAATTGCAAAAAGTTCAGAAAAGTAAAATACCATTTTCCCAAATAATGTCCTATCAGGGTAGGGGTCTTGTTGCTGATAGGGGTCTTGTTGCATTCGGGTCTTTTCCCGTATAAGATTGAGATTGTCTTGGCAAGACCCGAATACTACACCCGTGAAAATAGGTAGGTAGATAGGTAGATGGTCGGATGGTCGGTCGATCTGTGTGTGTGTGCATATTTAAAAAGCATAATCCTACCCCGGCTTACTTAGAAGAAAGTCTCACTGATTTCAATGAGGCTTACTCCAAGAAAGCAAGTTTAGGGACAATAAACCCTCCTCCCTTTTCGTTAGAACTAAAAGCAAGGCGAGATCGCCCATTGCAAAGTAACTTCCTCCTTCGATTGATTCAGCGCATGCGTAAGACCGCCCCTTTCCTGGCACCGCAGCCATAATCAAAGGATTAATGAAAATCAGAAGAGCCCTCGAATCTGACCCCCCCTCCCTTCCCTTTCATTTGAATCGAGGAGGAGCTGCAGCCTACCCTCCGGTCCAAGCTCCGCGTTGATCACGTGGACGAAAAGCCACAAATAAGATTTAAGTTGTTTCTCACGTGCTTGCCCGGCAGGACCTGGCAGTCGTATTGTCCAATGAGAATGCAGAGTGGGTGGAGCGGAGGTTGTTTCTTTTGCGTTGCTGTTGGAGGGAGGCAGCAAAAGGAGGAATTTGTTATAATAGCAGGTTTGGGACGGTGGGTTTTGTGTGTGTGTGTGTAGTCCTTTTTTTCTTACAGGATTGCGGAGCTGCAGCTTCTTTCTCATACCAGGAGTGGCCATTCAGCAGGATTTAGCTTTGGGATGAGGTGGTGAAACCTTGTGTCCAAAGAGCAGAGCAAAACATGTGTCCAGATGGGGAATTTAGCATTCAGACGACGGTGGACTGATGCCTTTCATACCAAGGTATCTTTTCTTAGATTAGGATAGATAGATAGATAGATAGATAGATAGATAGATAGATAGATAGATAGATAGATAGATAGATAGATAGCAGACAGACACAGACAGACAGACAGACGCTGACCTTGCACAGTATTCCTGCCTCTTTTAAGTAGGCTGGGTGACAGCTTCAACTTCTCAGAGCTGTTGGAGCTGAAGTGCTTTGCTTGTTTAAAGTAAAATAATATGTTTAAAGTAATATGCAGAGTTTACTTTTGCACAAAGAAGCAGAATTGCGTCATCAAGATTACTTAGAATATTCGTTGAATTTGTCCCCCCAAACCCCTTTCTGCTAAGGGAACAACTGTCCTTTCCTAGTTAGGACAGGGTCAGCCTCACAACCAAATCACTCTACTAAAACAAATCCTATTCTAGCAATTGCCTATTTATGAAATGCCAAACCATCTATATTCATCTATCTATGTATCTGGAATGCTAAACCAATTTTTCCATAACTTGTTAAGGCATGGAGTTTCATGAAACAGTTATTTTAAAAAAGACGATAAAGAAGCAAGGCTGGTGCTTTTCAGCTATTCAGACAGGCAATTTCTGGAGATTACAGGTAGTCCTCGACTTAGTTCATTTAATGACCATTCGAAGTTACAATGGCACTGAAAAAAGTGACTTATGACCATTTTTCACATGTATGACCATTGCAACATCCCCATGGACATGTGATCAAAATTCAGCTGCTTGGAGAATGAGTCATATTTATGAGGGTTGCAGTGTCCTGGAGTCACATGATCCCCTTTTGCGACCTTCTGACAAGCAGAGTCAATGGAAAAGCCAGATTCACTTAACAATTGTGTTACTAATTTAACAACTGCAATTAACAAAAGTGGCAAGAAAAGTCGTAAAAATGGGGCACAGCTCGCTTAACAAATTTCTCATTTAGCAACATACATTTTGGGCTCAATTGTGGTCATTAGTCAAGGATTACCTGTATATAGCAATAAGCACAAAATGGAGTTTGAAATTAAATTCATATTCTCCTAAAAACACATTTGACAATTTTCCATTTAGCTGAAAAGATGATGTCGAATAGTTTCTTCCAAACGTAAAACCACTGGAGAGCCTTTTCTGAAACCATAATTTCTTTGGCATCCCAATGCTGTGAATTATTACCATGTACTTGTTTCATTGTGTGGTGTAAAGAGGATCTTATGACACCTTCGGATTGTGAAAAAAATGTAGTACTGTAAGTTTTATTGTTCACTTCCTGAGCAATTAAAGCTAAATGCCCCATTTCCATACATTTCATGCAACTGTTCAAAATCTAATTCTAGACACCAAAGCCTAGGGAGGCTAGGATTGATATCCAAGACAATTTTGGAGGTGAGAGGCAGGCCCTCATAGAAAACTAATTCTGTGTTATAATTCTATGCCCCATACCTTTATAATTTCTGTCAAAGACTTGACACTTTGTCACATCTCTTGTACTCTTCCACTAGAATAGCACTGCCTTATCCAATTCACATGGACACTCTGTTCTATGAACTGGGCTGAGAATCTTTTCCATACTCTTGTTAATGGTTCTGTATTTTGTATTATGTAAGTGTATTATTTTTTTAAATTTGCATGTTAATCTAGTGGCTGGCTTTGGGGATTGGACTAAACATGCAAAGTAGAAACCTCATGCCCTTCAAATGCCCAAAAAGCATGAATACAGATTATTAATTTCAATAGTATGTGAATGTATTGCCAAAATGTGAATTTGTGATGATTTATGTCTATGTGTGTGAACATGCAATTTTCTCTTATTTTCTAGTATCTTCTTTGTGAAATAGAGTTCCCATTCGGTATTAGATGAAGAGTAATCATGCAAATATTTTGTTTCTTCCTAGTTCTACTAGAGTTCTCTATGACATTTCTCCTTTGGCATGAAGTGCATAGTTACAGGGGGCAATGTGAAAGGTGAGCTATGCACAACAACTTTGTTTACTGGTAGTTATTTATTTTAAAATTTTATAAGGCTACTTAACTCTACAGCAACTCTGGCCAGCATATGGTACAAATGATAATAAAGTACCATTAAAGCAAAACAACAATGGCATAAGAAAAAGAATCATTAAAAAATGTAAGATCCATCACCTACTATAATTCAAAGATCTAGGGGAAAAATAGATTTCCAGAGCTCATTTGAACATGACCAGAGTAGGTACCATGCATACTTCAAGTGGTTTGGTGTTCCAAAGGCCATGTGCTATGACCAAAAAAAAAAAGTATAGTTCCAAGGCCCTATCAGATGACACTGCTTAATGGATGAGACAAGGAACATGATCATCTGGGCTGGGCAGAAACCACAAAGGACAGATGGTTCTTTGGATAACAAAGTATTCATAGATAATAACCAGCATTTTGAATTGCAGCCACAGGTCTCCTGATAACAGCGTAGTTCATAGATCAAAAGGGTTACATGAGTCTGATGAGATACCACTATAATTATGCCACATTTTGCTGCAATATCTGAATAGAATAGATTGCAAAGGTTCATACACAATTGGTACACAAGATGTCAGTTGCCACTTTGAGTCCAATTTTGTGAGTCCCTTAAATTTTGGGTAAGGGTATTAATTTCTGATCTGATCCTTCCAAAAACAGGTATATGTGTAGAAGACACTTCTAAAGGAGCTTTTTCATCAGTAAAATAACAATCGTTGCAGGATAGAGAGATTAAGAACAAGGGCAGGATTAAAGAGAGAAAGGATGATCATTTTTGGCTTTAGCCTTTTCCACTGTTGATATTACATGCACCTTTCCTTCTTCCTCCCAGATAACCATAAAATGAAGAAGTAAACCCAGCCTTCATATAAACACTAATAATTAATTAGTAGCAGGAGGGAGTTGTGATGGGTAATTTCCCCCTACACAGATTCCTAGCTAGTGTAAGAAACAGCGTTTCACATTGTATGAGACTAAACTTTATCCGGTTCTTTGTGTTCTTGTGTCCCTTGTGCAGCCCTGGGGAAAGCAGTACATGCTCTCTCCCGGATTGGAGAGGAAATCTACATTGAACCACTAGAAGAAGGGGTAAGAGAGGATCTGAGAGATATTTGCTTGGAGAACTTTTAAACGAATATTATATAAATGGAAAGCTACAGTTATGTGAAAAAGAAAGTGCTTTCTTTTTCACATGACTGTATATTCCACAGAAAAAATAAGGCAATTTTTTTTAAGTTAAATATAAAATATTATGGGAAAAGTTGGGTTTTAGGTGTTAATTCATTTGCCACTCTGATGCAAAAATATATATAAACTTGCAATGTATTTTAAAATTTAGAACAGGATATAATGGAAACTTGCAATGCAATGTATTTATTGCAATACAAATCAAAACTGTTCATTAGATACCTATCTCTTAGGTGGCCAGGAAATAATTTTGTTTGCATAAAAATAAGGTCCTGGTAAGCACCGTCCTGATCAAAGCAGGGCTACAATATATATTAGTCTAAATTGGTGCATCTGTATAGTTTGTTCGTCAGCAATTTTGATTTGTACTGTTTGACAATTCGAGTTTGTTTCATGTTTGGACAAGTTATGCTTAATCCTTACAAGACACTTAACTGACCAGGAAATGGATGGGGGGCGGGGGTAGCAACTTCAGTATGCTGCACTGCAGTGAAAGGCAAGTTTTACTATTGGGAATGTAAATAAAGTAATGTAAAATAATTTTGCAATGCTTCTATTCATTTTTTTTTGAGTGACAGCAGTCACACTGTGTATAATTCTGGTCACAGTTCACCTCAAAAGATCCACTGAGTAATTGGAGAAGAAAAAGAGAATCAGAATGTCTTCAGTAACAGTTGCTAGGGAATATTGGTGTAAAGTTGCCGTTTCCTGTAAGCATGCTGGCTGGGAGATTGTGGAAGCTGAAATCCACACATCTTAAGAGATGCCAAGGTTGAAAAACACTGCTTCACGGTCTGGTGTGGGAGACCCATAGACACTGAATGGGAGAATAGAATGCTGGACCTGATCTGACCAAGCGTCCCTCCCCTAGCTGCTAGGTTTTGAAAAATGAGAGAAAGCTAAAGGCTGGAGAGAAGGGGAGCTATTTCCTGCCCTAGTGTTATTTCCTGTTTTATCTTTCCAGTTGTCTTTGCGTGCAATAAACACATCACGCTCTGCCTATGCCTGCTTCCTCTTCACCTCACTCTTCTTCCAGCACTACCAGGCTGGAGAATCTGGATCAGACCCAGATGACGGTGCTTTACGATGCAAAGTGCTCATGAAGGTGAGATGCTCTTGAATGTTGCAGAGAGCGTTTCCTCAAACCTCAAGTAAATATTCCCCCTCCAGGTTCTTGTGGTCTCTGAATCCCTTTCAAGTCAGTGACATAGGCAGATCCAACCGTTTGGTCTGTAACTGAACTCATGAAATCAACCTGGCCACTGAATTTAAAAGCTATCTTGGGGTTTGAACTTGAATTTTCCCCCATCCTAATTTGAGACTCTTAGTGGCTTTCTTTTGCTTTAAGAACAGTCTCACACAATTGTGCCTTGCAGTCTTTCCTAGCTGTATTCCGCTCAATCCCTGCTCTGGAGAAGACAGTGGAGAAATGTCTCATGTCACTGACTCCCAAGACGAACCGGTTCCATGTTCAACTGCATTGCAAATATGGGGTTGTCAAGACTCATGATTTGTCATTCCAGGAATAAA